ATAAGATGTTGCCAAAAAGAAAAAGATTGATAATACAAAATGATGAAGAATACAAGATGAAATAAGAAGAAAAACCTAAATTAAAATAAAGAAAAGACAAAAGATAGAAGATGAAGACGGACAAAAACGAAAGAAACATAACAAAAGAAGAAAATAATTGAAGAACATGTGAACAATAAAGAAGTTGGAAAAATCAAAAGATAAAAAACGAAGAATTATAACACAAAGTTAATTGAAAAAAAAAATTGTAAATAAAAGAAAGAAAACGAATAAAAACCATGAAATAAAAAGATGACGATAAAGAGAGAGGAAATAAAAAGAGATTAGAAAGTTTGAAAAGAATAAGAAAACAAAAAGTAGAAAATGAAGGAAAAAATATGAAAGAAGTAAAAGACAAAGTAAAGGAAGAATAAGATAAAAATGGGTTGGGGTTTACGATGTACGGTTTATATTGATGGCGTAAAGTTTAGTTTTTGGTGCATTTTAAGAAAATTTAATACACTACATTACCGATTAAAACCAAAAAGAAACTATTTTTAAGAAATAAATAAAATTTAAAGAAAAAGTCCAGAACCAATTTGTAAAATGTGGGGTTCGAGTGTGCGGTTTGGGTTTAGGGTGTAGGTTTGTTTAAGGGGGGAGGGTGATCTTACACTGTGGGGTTTGCGTTTAGGATGTAGTGTTGTTTAGGGGGAGGTGGGTTACACTGTAGGTTTTGATTTAGGGTGTAGGGTTTATATTAATGGATTTAGGGTTTAGTTTCTGGTGCATTTTTAAAAATTTGAATTATTATGGAAGAATTTCAAAATTAAGAATCAATGATTATAAATCTATATCTACCTTTCTAAATTACATTTGCAAACAGAAAAAAAAACTAAAAAAATAAAGCAAATCCAGAATCGAAAGATAACAAAAGCAATAGATTTTAAAAAGATCTCGACTATATAAAGATAAAACTATTTTTCAAATCTTTGAAAATCTAAACTATCGAATAAATTGATAGGTGAAATACAAGACGTTAAAAAGAACGAATAAAACCATAAGTAAAAAAAGAAAGACGGTGAAAAAGAAAATGAGAAATTTGGAGAAGAAGAAGAAAACTCGAACATGAGTAAAAAGAAATCAAAGAAGAAAAAAAATAGAATGTGAAGAGAAAAAAGACAAAGAAGAGATAAATAAAAACTAGAAAAATAGATGTTAGAGAAAACGAAGATGATAAAGGCACAGAAAGGGGAGAATAAGGAAAAAGAAAAACCGAAAAATAAAGTATAAAAAATTAGAAAGAAAATCTAGAATAGTGAGTTGGAGGATATGAAGACACAAGAAAATAATGAAGAGAAAAAATTGGAAGAAGAAGAAAAAGATGATGAGAATGAGCATAAAACTGAAAGAAAAAGAAGAAGATGGGATAATTGGAGAAGAATAAGAAATATTTTGTGTCTCTATAAACAAATGAAGAGGTTTATGTTGAAAAATGAGAAAAAAAAAGACAAAAATAAGACATCAAAATTACAAAAAAAAAGGTACGGCGAAAACAAAAATGATAAATATAATCATAAATTTTACGACTTATATGAAATAATTAATTTTTTAAAAAATATTATACTCGGACAAGGTGTGTGACCATCACCTAAATAAGTTTTAAACTAATACTATAAAGATCAAATGATATAAAGAAGTTTTCTAAAACGTTTGATATGGTTTGAATATTTAAATTATATTAATGACCATACTTTGATAGTTTTCTTTTTATTTCAGTGTTTTAGAAAAATTATTGTAATGTTTGAATTATGATTTATTTTTTATTTTTTTGTTATAGATGTTTTTATTTTCAAAACAATTCATGCTCGCGCATGCCGCGGGCTAACCACCTCGTTATATATAAGTCGCATTGGTGCACTACAACCGGTATAGAGCCAAACCAATAAGCCTCCGGAACTCACTAACTCATAATAACAAATATCAACTCCTGGTCTTGTAAATTGATTTGGGCATGTATGTGATCAACTAACTGATTATACGTTTGTCTATCTCCCCCGTATGTGATCAACTAATTGATTTGGGCAGACTTCATGCTCCAAGCACTTAGGCCAAAGACACCACACTTGGGGATGATCCATTGTTAAAAGCAAAGATATGCGTTCTTTCTCCTGTTGCTAATGTTACATAAACTCTTGAAGTAATACATGCTTTCCTTTTTCCACCCAAGTTCTCCAAAACTGAATGATAAAACTACAATAACAACAACATCGACAAAAATAACAGAAACCATTTTGAAAAAGAAGAAAAAGTCTACATTTTTTTTGATGTGTACACTCTACACCTTCATAACTCACAATAACAAATATCAATTCATGATGAAGACAAGGGTCAAGGATATGTATCCTAGATTATATAAATTATGTGTATAATATAGTCAAAAGTATCTTTTAACAAATTGACATGAGTCACATGACTCTATGCTCTATCAAACTAGCACAAGTTAAGACAAATCATGATTTTTTTTTTTAACGTAGTACTATCTATGTAAACCAATCGACATTTTTGTTTGTTTGTTTGTGGACAACTAATTAAGCAGCTTATACAATGTCTCATTATACAACAATCACAACTTCTTAAAAAAATTACCAAAGATAGAAAAGTATCTCAAAGTATTTTTCGTCCATTAATAAATAATAAATGTCTAAAAATAAATAAATTAAATAACTTAGAACAAGCCCATCTCTTCCTCCAACATCCCTACCTCCCAAAACAAAACAAACACAACGAAACACCCTAAATATAAAAACCTATTTTCTTAAATTTAACCTCTTTCTTCACCAATATAATCTGTTTCTCGTATCCCCATTCCAAAAAGAAAAACTAGAAACCCCCCCCCCCCAAAAAAAAAAAAGAGAAATAATAATGATGGGTCATCGAGCAGGAATGATCCTTGTCCTAGCCCTAGTTGTTATGTCCGTATGGGGTTCGGACGCATCAGCAGTCCTACATACGAAATTTGACGCACCCCTTCTGACTGAAAAAATCAAATCAAATAGAACGATTATTGTCGATATCCAAGGCAAAGGAGACTACACTTCGGTTCAAAAAGCCATTGATGCTGTCCCTGCTGGTAACTCTCACTGGATTATCGTCCATGTCCGTAAAGGAATCTACAAGTACGTATACGTTCACGAGGTTTAACCTTTTAGATTATTTGGTATATGTGCGCAAATTTCATGCATGTTACATGCATATACAATATTATAACCAGCTATAGTTATGTATTAATATTGCTATCGAAGGCAAAGATGAATTTTCGCTATATATGCAAAAAAGGGTTTACGTAACTATATTCATATGAGACATTTCTAATTTTGAGTTTTATTTTTTTTCTTTCGGAAAAAGGGAGAGAGTGCACATTCCGGAGAACAAGCCGTTCATATTCATGAGAGGTAACGGAAAAGGAAAAACGGTCATCGAATCTTCGCAAAGTGCGGTCGATAATGTTGCCTCGGCCACTTTCAAAGTCGAAGCTAATCACTTTGTCGCTTTTGGTATCAGCATCAGAGTATGTCTAACAAAATTGTATTTCGAAATCAGTTTTTTTTAAAGAAAAACAAATTATTTTATATATAATTTCGTCAATGACATTGGTGTGTTAATGAATTTGTGTTATGGATATACAGAATGATGCACCAATCGGAATGGCGTTCACGTCTGACAACCAATCGGTGGCCGCGTTTGTGGCTGCCGATAAAGTAGCGTTTTACCATTGTGCGTTCTACAGCTTGCACAACACTTTGTTTGATAACAAAGGTAGACATTATTACCATGAGTGCTACATCCAAGGCTCTATCGACTTCATCTTCGGTCGTGCAACTTCCATTTTCAACGTACGTTTTTCCTAGTAACACATTTTCTAAAACATAGCATATAAACTTCCATTTTTTTACTTCCAATACGAAATGTAAACCTTTTTTCGTATTTTTTTTCCTTCCAAAATTGTTACAGAATTGCGAGATATTTGTGATATCGGACAAGAGGGTGAAACCGTACGGGTCAATCACAGCACACCACAGGGAACACGCAGAGGAGAGTACGGGTTATGTGTTCATAAGAGGCAAAGTTTATGGAGTCGATGAGGTTTATTTAGGCCGAGCCAAAGGACCTTATTCGCGTGTCATATTTGCTAAGACTTACTTGTCCAAGACCGTTGTCCCTAACGGTTGGACAAACTGGAGCTACGATGGCTCGACTAAGTTAGTCTCTAATTACTATTACTTTTATCTAATTTTCACAGTAATTAATTTATTCTTTACGTTTATACTAATATACACTTGAAATCGATCAGGGAATTATACCATGCGGAGTACAAGTGTCATGGACCTGGTGCTGAGAGGCAACAGAGATCTGATTGGGCCAAAGAGCTTACCAAACCAGAAGTTGAGCCTTTCTTGTCCATTGATTTTATTAATGGAACTTCTTGGCTCCCTGTTTGGCTTCATCAAGAGTCTTAGAGTTCATTACGCTGTTGTGCGTGCGTGTCTCGCGTTTGGCTTTTGGCGTTTCGGTGTGGCTTGGGGAAAAAAGAAAAAAAAAACACATGAAGAAAGAAGACTCCATCTTCTCTTCAACGGTATACTATACGAAATAGTTTTCTCATCTTTTTTTTTGTTCTGCTCTAATATGTTTTTAGAGTGATTGGGAACTCTTATGTTGTTTGCGCACATTATATAAGATAGTTTCCATTTTTATAATCTATGTAACCTAAGCTGTAAATCATATCTTCCAATTTAAAATATTTTCCCGAATGTTTAAGTGGATTAATTAACAAGTCAACGACAAATATTGCAAAATGGTTTAGTTTTTTTTTTTCTCAAATATGGTCATTCAAACATAATTTAATATCGTAAAGGAAATATGATATACTTTCTTGCAAATGACTTGTTACATAAGTAACTAGCCCTAGCTTAGTCAAGCCAGGAATAGATTTTGTATGAATGTTTAATCACTAAATTTTAAAATCCACCGCCAAATCCACCACCGCCACCACCTCCACCACCAAATCCTCCACCAGCTCCTCCGCCAGCACCAGCACCAGCGCCAAATCCTCCGCCTGATCCTCCACCAAATCCTCCACCAACACCTCCACCGTGACCTCCGCCTCCACCAAACCCTCCGCCACCTCCTCCACCAGCGCCTCCTCCAATACCTCCACCAGCTCCTCCGCCAGCACCACTACCAAATCCTCCTCCTGAACCACCGCCAATACCTCCACCTTGACCTCCTCCGAATCCTCCACCAGCACCTCCTCCTCCACCACCTCCTAGACCACCACCAGCACCTCCTCCGGCACCACCACCAGCACCTCCTCCGGCACCACCACCAATACCTCCACCATGGCCTCCTCCGAGGCCTCCACCACCTCCTAGACCACCACCAGCACCTCCTCCGGCACCAATACCTCCACCATGGCCTCCTCCAAGTCCTCCACCACCTCCTAAACCACCACCAGCACCTCCTCCGGAACCACCACCAATACCTCCACCATGGCCTCCTCCGAGTCCTCCACCACCTCCTAAACCACCACCTCCTCCAGCACCACCGCCAATACCTCCACCGTGGCCTCCTCCGAGTCCTCCACCACCTCCTAAACCACCACCAGCACCACCGCCTCCTCCGAGTCCTCCTCCACCTCCTAGACCACCACCAGCACCTCCTCCAGCACCACCCCCACTACCTCCTCCTAGTCCTCCACCACCTCCTAGACCACCACCAACACCACCGCCAATACCTCCACCGTGGCCTCCACCACCTCCTAGACCACCACCAGCACCACCACCTAGACCACCACCAAAACCTTTTCCTCCCCCAAACCCACCACCAAGTCCACCACCTCCCAACGTCTCCTTCTCAAATCTCCTACACTCTACAACCCCTATCACCACAACTACAAGCATCAACGCCAAAAACCCATAAGATACTTTCCCCATATCTTTGTTACTTGTTTAGTGTATATCTTGTTGTTCAGTGTACGAATGTTATAGCTCACTTGACTAAGCTACTAACAGTATATATACAAACTACTACGTAGATGTAGCATTTATGAGATATGGTTGAGAGAGGCCTCTACCGCGTTTCTCCGCATGTTCTCATGTTCCAATGACCAATCCCTCATGTTCAAAAATTTCTCTGAAGCAATTAATGAGTGACACCCGAGTGGCTCTCTTTATAATTTTAATCTTCTTCTGTCATCCAATATTTTATTCCATGCTCACCCAATTTACGCTTAATATTCTACACAGCTTATAGCTACAAAGCGTAGACTCCATCTTTTTTGTTCATATGAATTGATAACATAAAGACTTCAATAAAAATGAGATCGCGAACATAAATTTCAAAACAAATACTATTAGCTAGATGGAGAAAACAATGAAGAGAGACAGTGGGGGAAGGTGAGGATGTAATTAGTTTAAGAATACATTTGACATTTAGAGCTTCTCAACTACTTTGGATTTGGTAGCCACATTAACTGCAGAATCTCCACTATCGTTTTCATTATTCCCTCTAGCTAGTAAATTACTGTTGGTAAACCCTACAAATTTTCTCCCATGTGCCCTTACTTGACTTTGTGATCTCTGGCCCTTCATTTGACTTATGCATGAGAAAAGTATTTTTAAACTTCAAAACACATAATCACATCTCTGAAATTTCTTTAAATATCATTTTTAACGAGAAAGACTAAATCTAAAAGTGTTAACTTTAAAGTTCTGTATTTTTTATTTATTTTCTTGTAAAATAAATTAACTACAATCGTCTTCATTTACAGTTCCATCTTCTTATTTGTCCCTAATTCATGTACTCGTCGTTGAAAATTTTAAAAAACCTTCTAATGATTCACATATCAAATTGGTATCACCTAACATATTTTTTTCCGACAAACTCTATTTGCAAAACGGTCGCCACCGAGATCAGCTCCGGTCACCGCCCAGGAGTTTTGCTTGAATGAAATAACGAGTAACACTTAACAACTGAAACGATCATTGGTCAATCAATATCTCTCTCTTCTTTGCTCATTCTCTTGCCTCTCTCGGAGTTATCAATATACACAGTGCAAACAAAAGAAAACACGTCTTGAGACTCTATCACTAATGTTACGTTTCGTTTTCTTTCAGGCGAGTCAAACGCAAACAATCTCCTCTTCTCTACTAAATATCACCGGAAACAAAAACTCTCTATCTTCCTCCGGCGTAGTTAGACTCACAAACACACATACACATACAATGATACAAACTCTCCTGGCCAACTTATGTGCGACTAATATGGCATCATCAACATCATGTCGCCGCCGCTGCCACTAGCGTTTGCGGTTGAAGACTGGCGTTTCAGAGGAACCGGGAGTTCGAGAATGATTAGGAAATAGGACCGCTCTGACTCTCGGATGTATTGAACCTCGCCGTTCATGAGCTTTAGAATCTTTCGACATACGCTTAGACCTAACCCTTCGGGGCTCGTCCATCTACTGCTATGGAACATGTCTCGGACCAGCTCTGGAGGCAGACCTTCACCTGGGCACGCCATTCTGTAACAGCAAAATTTAAGACATAACAGAGAGACCAAAAACACATGAAACCAAAGTGTTACAATCAGTGTCTGCTAATTCTAGGCCTATGGTTATGTTCAAAAGTTCGCAATCCGGCTTAACCGAGCCAAAACTACCACCTAAAAACGAATCTAAAACACAAAAGTAAACAAAAGAAAGTCGAACTAAAATTCTAAAACCTCAGAATTTCTTGGAAAATCCTTAAAAGTATAATACGTTTTTGTTACCAAACCGACTTCGTATTCTTCATAAACCTAAAAATATCTAACCAAAAACAGGACTGCATATTTATGGTTACAGGTATGAGGAGACAACAGTGGGGACAACGAAATGTACCTAAATTCCGTGCGGACAGCGGAGAATCCATCAGCCATTTGCTTTGAAACTTGACTTAGATGGATCTCCACCCACTCTTGAGACGGTGCATACCGGATTATACTCAGCAGAAACTCAGCCAGGAGCTGTTGAATCCTCGTCTGGTCTCCATAAACAGCTATGGATTTGATCTCTTCGGGAATATCACGGATCAGCTGAAGACCTCTCTCCCTTAATAAGAACATCGCCTGGCTTACAATCGCGTTTATGACACTTCCGAGGAAAAACTCCGCTCTCTCTAGCTCAAACGAACTGATCAAATGGAACAAAAAAAAAAAACAAATTTTGGCATAAGGTCACAACTTGTCAAGTAAACAAAACCATTTTATAGAGAATTCCAAGTTTCTAACTAAACTCACCCGTCTTCAATTCTTTCAAGATCCATGTCACTGACAATCCTCGAGATCTGTTTCTCGCAAGACACACTTGTTTCAAGAAACTGTTTCTGATCCTCGTTCAACTCTGTAGCTTCCAACAATGAGTTTGTGAAACGCAACCCGCTCAAAGGATTCTTTATCACCTGACAAATGTACGCCAACTCTTTCGCCTTTGTGAAACACTCTGTGTCCTGCCTCCGTTGGACTGCTAAAGCTTGCTGCAGCTCAGGACTCGGGATCTGCAAGAAACAGAAAGCCCCAATGACCTTTCCGTCGAGGCTTACCCGCTTGTTTGCAGTCAACAGAGCTTGAACAAACTTCCCATTGCGGTCAAAGAACGGGAAAGGGAACTTATCCGTGTCTTGACCACCGATTGCATTATGCAATACAATCATGAACTTGGTTAAAGCATCAGGACCCTTTAGCCTGCAACAGTTCCCAAACACTTCCCCAACAAGCATTTTCCCAATCACTTCACCGCGAGACCAACCCGTAAGCTTTTCCATCGCCATGTTCCACTCCAGGCAGCAAGTGTTCTCGTCAGCAGCAAAGATTGGCGGGATCAGTGGGTTTGGGCTATGGACTATAGCCTTGTAGTCTCCTTGTATATTAATGAACTTATCCATTACGATTTTCTGACCAGTAACGTCCTGTCCAACAAAACAGACACCCACAATGTTGTTCAAGTAGTCCTTGCTTGAACAGGCATTCACCACCACGAAAACCGCTTTCCCTTGAAGTTCAGGGCTGAAAGTCTTCAGCTTCACCTCCACATTCTTGTCCTCATCCCCTACATGATCACAAACGCAACACAATGATCAAATATCCGAGATGGAGATTTACAAAACAGTTGAAGTACTAAACATACCTCCCAGAGCACGAGAAATGAGCTTATCAACAGTTTCTTCGTTCTCTTTGTATATTAGATCAGAAACCAGAGACTTCCCCATAGCTTCTTCAACAGAGAGACCTGTCAACTCCGCAATCTTAGCGTTCCATCCATTAATACAACCTCCTGCGTCCACAGCAAATATAGGAACAGTTGCAGTCTCAATGAGCCTAACCATCTCTCTTGCAACTGCACCTAACTCATCAATCCCCTGCTCTCCTGCCATATCTCTACAAGGCTGAACCGCACCATCTGCAGTTTTAGAGTTCATAGCTGCCTCAGATTCTTTAAACGAGTCTCTAAGAATCAGCTGGAGCGAGTGAATCGCATCCATTTCCGCAGTTTCCCATGGCTGGCTCCGGCTCTTAACAACTTCAAGAAAAGCCTTGAAGGACGAACGAGGATGCATCCGCTGCCCATCATCTTTATCCTCGGGATGGTGCTTAGCGCCTCCCCATTTGATTTCTTTAGCTGTGTGAGAACGGAACCAAAAAAGGAAATCTCTTTTCGTGATATACGCAACCGCCATGCCACACACGGCATCCCCTAACGCAGCTGCACCGGGATATCCAGCGTCGCCTAAACTATCAGTACTTAACCCTGTTGAATCCGCATGATTCGCAAGCAACCACTCCACAACGTCTCTTATCTGAACCTCAGTAGGAGCAACACCTAACGGATAATACTTCCCGTGGTAAAGAAACGCCGCACCGTCGCATTTCACCAAGTCCATGATGCTAGGACTCTGTGTAACAATCCCAGCAGGGGAATCACGGAGAAGCATATCGCACAACAGCGTCTGCGTTCTCAGAACGCGTTTCTCTGACATTTGCAAAGCCAGCTGCAGTTCCATGTTCAACTGTAACCCAAACGCCTGCATTAGAAACTCGCAAGCGTACCTTAGAGGAAATGGTATGCAGCGAGAGGAGGTGTGGTGACAAACAACTAAACCCCAAAGCCTCATAGAGTTTCTCCCACCGGCGACATTGCTCCCGTCGTCTTCATTGCCGTTTATAATCACCGCCATTGCTAAAGACGCGATTGATCCCATGTTAGCCATGTACTGAGAGTGGCATCCATGAGGAGCCCTGAGAGTCGAACCAACCAAGCACATGGACTGAGTGAGCCGGTCGTCTTGCACCACGAGAACCGGCGTGGCGTGGCAGTCAACGATCATACGGACGCGATTCTGCTTGAATAAGAACCGTGACGCTTGAGGAATGTCAGTCGCCGGATAATGTAGACCAATGTAAGGCTCTAAATCGTCTCGCCTGCTCTCGGCGACAACTTCTCCGTGCTCGTCTTCGTGAAACTTGTAGACCATCACACGGTCGTATCCAGTGAGGTCTCTCACGCTCTCCACAACAGTGTCACAGAGAAGCTTGATGTCTCCGCCGGGAAGCGATTGGAGCTGTGAGATCGCGCGGACCGCGAGTTTCTGCGATTGGACCGCTCCGGCGATCGAAAGCGCTGGATCTTCGGTTCTCGCTGGCTCTAAATCGATGACGACTCCTACGTCGATCCGGTGGAGGATTGCGTAAAACGGTTTACCGGTGTTCTTCGAGTGGATCCAAACGGGATTCAGCAGCGTGATTTCTCGAGCCACGAAGGCACGCTCGAGGAGAATTGAGCTCGAAGCGGTGAAGAGAGATCGCACATCCGTCCCCATCGCTAGAATCTCCGGTTTCTCGAGGCTGGGAACTGATTGAGGCATAAGGCCCAGCATTTCCCGCGCGTTTTCGCTGTAGCCGATGATTCGGAAGGTGGATTCGTCGACGGCGATCATACATCCGAACGGCTGTATGTAGCCGCCACGCTGGATCCTGGAGAGATACGCCGTGATCTGCTGCTCAGGCACGGAGGAGCCATACGTCGTCGTTTTGAGGGATTGTGAGTAATCGAACGACTTGCCGGACTCGCCGGATTGTTCAAAGACGGCATGGAGTCTCGCGTCGACAGTGTACTGCTGGATAGCTTTGCTCATTGATTCCGTGTGGCTTTGGGGCTGATTTTGCGGCCTGAGTGATTTCGTCCCCGACGATTGAGCTTGCTCTCTCCGGTGATGAGTGGTGGTGTGGAGACTATGGTCGACGCGGTGACTCGACGACGCCGCCTCTTCACCACGGCTGCGGCCACTAGCGCCGCTTCCTCCTCTTCCGCCGCCGACTCCGGAAACCATGGTGCGAATTTCGTTCTTCGTTTTGGAATTCTTCGGGATTCCGATATAAGAGCTTACCTACCGTGACGAAGGGATTCAATGTCAATCATCATGGGTGTTTGAAATCTGGAGGTCCCCATCGACCGAAAGTAGTTAGCGTAGACGAATTTTTCATCTGGGCGGCTCTTGATTGAAGATTTTTCTCAGCTCCAAGACAGAGAAAGAGTGGGGAAATTCTAGAGATTACGTCAGATTATAAAAAAAAAAATTGAGAGAATGATTCTCGATATATTCTGCTGAAAATTGAAACCGAGAGATTCTGGTGGACTACAAGAGGAATTGAATTTTACTTCTTTCTTTTTTCTCGAGAAAACAGGTGAGATTTCGAGCGGAGGAAAATGGAAAATTGGGATCGGAGGTAGTGAAAAGTTTTCACTGGAAACATTAAAACGCAAAAGCTAAATTGGGTTACGGAAACCAATTAAATGAAGCAGAGGGCAATGTGTGTATGTGATGAGAGGGAGGGAGAGTCAGCGAGTGTCTCGTCTTCCTCATTGGCTTTTTTTTTTTCTTTTTTCTTGCTCATATTGCTTCGAATTTACTTTTGTTTCTTGTCGTAAACCTTTCAGAAAATCACCCCGAAAACTTGTACTATTATCAATTTAACCCCCAACACTAACTTGTATTTTGTCGTATTGTGAGGGAGAAATGTCCAAGAGTTTGGCCCAAGATCACGTGGGCTATGCTTTATTCTCTCTAGTGGACGCACGTGGCCCCTGGGCCCGTGGCGCGTGGGAGCCCCTGGAGTGGTCGAATCTAAACGACATGTAAATTTAATCGAATCAAACTCGCATCTACCGAATTCAGATCGTACTTATTTTGTTTGGTTTCAATTCGTTTCAGTGTCTAAATCCGAGAAAACGTAAACGTAACCCAAAAGGGTTGAATGGTGGTTATCACTTCATTATTTTCTTTTAATTTCATGTTCTACAAAACATGTTGACAACTAAAAAAAGAAAACAGAGATATCAAATGTCCTCGTGATAATATCGATGGTTGTTACTTGTTGCCCCACTTAGTATTATAACGACAACCGAAAGAGATATAAATTTTGACTTTCCAGAAAGTATTGGATTAACTTATCACCTGAAATGGTCTAATACTAATTGATGAAAAGTGAAAACACATAGCAAATTTACAACATGATGTACTATATATATTCCATTTTATTGGATTTCACACTTAAGAGATTGACACAACTACTGATTCAAGAAACTGAATCACCTTAACTTTTACAACTCTGTAGTCTAAACAGTTTAGGCTAAACTTTTGTAGAGACATTATACTTAAATTGTATATATGCAAGCTTCTAGAATTTTTATTTACTTGGGACTGATTTCCTAGATAGAACAAATTAGAAACCATGATCAGAAGAATCAAAAGGAAAAATGTTTTTCAAGGAAGAGTTGGGGAGTATAGCTTTCTTGTAGTTAAACAATGTAGTTATGTACTCTCTGAACAGTCTTAATTAGATAGCTCGTATATACTAATCTCTAATTGACACGAGGTATCCAAAACGACAAATTCTAAACTCACAGAGGAAAAAAAATTGGATTATTCGGTGATAGTAATACCCCATATTTAACGTACAATAATTTGATTCGAATAAAAGGACAATGCGTTCAATCAAATAGTAAAAAGAACAAAAAGATAATATATTAAAATATATGAAACAGAAATAAAGCAGCAGAAATGATCGAAATGACCGGTGGAGAAAATTCGTGTGCATGAAAGTTAAAGACCATTACAAAAAAAAATAAGATTTTGGGCCGCGTCACAGTTTCACGTTTAGTCACTTCTTTTGTCCTTTTATTTTGTTGTTCTTTTTTGATAATTTTTCCATTTCCTGTTGTTTTTGCTTTCGCCTTTCGAGCTCTATCAAAATCTACCACTGTTTTGAACCTTATTACATAAAACATTTAGGTATGTTTAATTCCACCCAATCTCTGGTGTATGCTAACGTCACGTATATCAACTTACACTCACGTAAAATACAAAATTTTAAAATATTTGAAAAAATGGAAGAGAAAATAAAATTTACAGTCAAATATAGTGATCAGACTCTCCGACTCTGCCTGTCTACCATAGTGCCATGATCTCTTTGTTTTAGTCTAATCTCAAACGAGGTATGATTGGATGACTACGAACTTAATGATACACCTGTCCACACTGGAGTGTTCTTGTTCTTTGGCTAAGAATCGCCCTCAGAACTTTAAACCAGTAAGAACTTACCACGTGTTACTGAAATCCAAATCAGCTTAGCCATCCAAAAACGCTACCAACGTGGCTCGATATTACACCAGTAGTATTCTCCACACAATTACGAAATCACCCTTTAAAACTTCATTTTTTAGCTACCTATTGCATAACTGAAATTGATGTAGGGTTAACATGGTAATTTGACGACCATCATTCTTCTCGCCCGAGCCCGCCTAGCTTTCCCAGTCTCCTCCATGAAAGCTCACAACGGTTTTATCAGCTGAAGCTTTGTTTAAAAAAGAAAAATCAATGCACTTCTTGTTGCCTACTTCGTCGTCTACTTCTCACTCTCCGGCCAACACTTCTTCATTCTCTCTCTTATTTCTCAATCCGTCTCAAATTCCGGAGAATCTCTGCAAGTTACCGGCGAAGATCCATCTCGGAACCCATGGAATCTCCGGTCAATCATCTAAGCACACGTGTCTTCATGCAGTCGTCGACAGGTCTTCCTCAAGTGTATCGCCGGAGCAAAAGGAATCTTTTAACGGCGAAGGAGGGGAATCTGACTCGGAGGCGGTACTAGTAGTCCGACGTCCTCAGCTGGAGAATTCCGATAGGAAATCTAGCGAGGAAGAGGAGAAAAGGTACCCAGCGAGGATCGATGCCGGTCTGAGTAAGATAGCGAAGAAGATGCCGATATTCGAGCCGGAGAGATCGGAGTCGTCGTCTTCGTCGTCCGCGGCGGCTGTTGCTAGGGCTCAAGAGAAGCCGCTCTCGGTGAATCTGGACTTATCTCTGTACAAAGCTAAGGTTCTCGCTAGGAATTTCAGATACAAAGACGCTGAGAGGATTCTAGAGAAGGTAACATCGCATTCTTAGTCTGCTTGCTCATACTCAAACAATCAATGCGTAGGATGAAAATTGGAGAATGATTCTTGCAATCAGTGTTATATTAGTATAAGAAATCTAATCCTAGTCTTGTTGGGTTTTAAAGTGCATAGCTTACTGGCCGGAGGATGGGAGGCCGTACGTGGCGTTGGGGAAGATACTGAACAAGCAATCGAAGTTGGCTGAAGCAAGAATCGTATATGAGAAAGGGTGTCAAGCTACACAAGGAGAGAATGCTTACATTTGGCAGGTTAGATTTTTTGAAACCATTTTGATTGATTTGATACTCTTTAAGACTAATTACTAACAGATTTAGCTATTTTTGAAACAGTGCTGGGCTGTTCTGGAGAACAGATTGGGGAATGTGAGAAGAGCGAGGGAATTGTTTGATGCAGCTACGGTGGCTGATAAGAAGCATGTAGCAGCGTGGCATGGATGGGCAAACCTGGAGATAAAGCAAGGGAATATTAGTAAAGCGAGGAATCTGCTCGCCAAAGGACTCAAGTTTTGCGGGAGGAACGAGTATATCTACCAAACACTTGCCTTGTTGGAGGCTAAAGCTAATCGGTATGAGCAAGCTAGGTACCTGTTCAAGCAGGCCACCATATCCAATTCCAAGAGCTGTGCCAGTTGGTTGGTAAGTCTTTTGCATTATCATCTTCAGGCATGTGGATTCAGTTTTATTATCTTGATCAGTGATAGGATTCAGTTTTGAAATGTGGTATGTAATGAGAGGTTCGAACATGTTCTAAATAAGCTTCTCATTTCTTGCTAAACAGGCATGGGCACAGTTGGAGATACAGCAGGAAAGATTCCCAGCTGCTAGAAAGCTTTTTGAGGTAACTGCTACAGTTTCTTTTCTATTTCCCATCACAAAGAGTTCTAAAACAGTGGAGACTGTACGTTCATCCAAAAATGATTTGAGTACCTGCTAAGCCATTGAGCTGCATATATGAAAGCTTCAGGGTTTAAACACATGTTTACTTTTTTTTTTTCACAGAAAGCTGTTCAGGCAAGCCCCAAGAATAGGTTTGCGTGGCACGTGTGGGGGGTGTTTGAAGCTGGAGTAGGTAATGTTGAGCGTGGAAGAAAGCTCCTGAAGATAGGTCATGCGCTAAACCCAAGAGACCCTGTGCTCCTTCAGTCCCTTGGCTTACTGGAGTACAAACACTCATCTGCTAATCTTGCCCGGGCTTTACTAAGGAGAGCATCAGAGCTTGATCCTAGACATCAACCTGTTTGGATTGTAAGTTTTCAAGATTCAAATAGTTTTGGCTTATAATATATAATTTCTGCAAGTGGATGGAAGATGAAATGACTGGTGAAAGTGTATTCCGGTTTAGGCGTGGGGTTGGATGGAATGGAAAGAAGGAAACACAACAACAGCTAGAGAGCTTTACCAAAGAGCTCTCTCCATTGATGCAAACACCGAAAGTGCTGCTCGTTGTCTACAGGTACAACTAATAATTTCAACTACTAATATTACAAATACAAGTTGTTGGAGTCATTGATAAACCGGCAAGTTTGCTTAAAACATTGGCATATTGAGAGGATGCTGATCAAACCAAATACTTTGTCTATACAGGCGTGGGGAGTTCTAGAGCAGAGAGCAGGAAACCTATCAGCAGCAAGAAGATTGTTCAGATCATCACTGAACATCAACTCACAAAGCTACGTTACATGGATGACATGGGCACAACTTGAGGAAGATCAAGGAGATTCCGAACGTGCTGAGGAAATCCGTAATCTCTATTTCCAACAAGTAAGCTCTTCTTCTTACACATCCTTGATTCTTCTAGTAGAGTTCTTTATTCATCTCTTGTGATGGCTTTGTGAAACAGCGCACAGAGGTTGTTGATGATGCTACGTGGGTCACGGGATTCTTGGACATCATTGACCCGGCTTTAGACACCGTTAAAAGGCTCTTGAACTTTGGTCAGAACAATGACAACAACCGGTTAACTGATACTCTTAGAAACATGAGTAGAGTCAAAGATAGCCAATCCAGTCAGCAACCCGGAAGCTCTGTGGGACGTGAGGACACTGAAACTGGGAGTGGATTTGACCTCGATGCGTTTTTACGCGAGAAACTGTCGTTGGATCCGTCGAAGATAGAAGTTAATCTTGATTCTCAGAGGTTAGGGAGATTCATTAGAGGGAGAACAAGTGGTGCTTGAAGAAGTATGGGGAGATTTGAGATTTACTTAGGGGGAGTGTAAAGCTAAAGATGAAGAAGGCTCCATAATTAGTTTTGATTAGCAATTGTTATTATTTTAAACCAACAAAAATTGCTTTTTCCTCCAAAAGAATATAGAAATTGTTGTGAAATGAGAGAATAGAATGATTTATTCATGGACTAGAGTATCTCTTATATAGATACAAAGTTAGGGTACAAGAGGAGAAAATAGTACAAGTGTAGTACAAGTATAGTGGACCTTATAATGGGCATCCACTAAATAAAGCCCATAACACTCCCCCTTGGATGTCCATTAAAATGTGATAACTTGTAACGCGCATAAAGATGCTACCTCATTAAAAACCTTACTAGGAAAACCCAATGGGAAAAACCATAGTTAAGGGAAAAAGAGTGTAGCGCGCAGTTACTCCCCCTAATGAGACATCCGTTGAGATCTTTGAGACGACGCAATCCAATCATGTGAGTTAACTTCTTGAAAGTAGTGGTGGGAAGCGCCTTGGTGAATAAGTCCGCCAAATTTTCACTTGAACGAATCTGCAGAACACGTACATCACCATTCTTCTGCAATTCATGGGTGAAGAAGAACTTTGGTAGAATATGCTTCGTTCTATCGCCTTTGATGTACCCATCCTTCAGTTGTGCGATACATGCAGCATTGTCTTCATACATGACCGTTGGAGCTTCTTTTCCTACAGAAAGACCACAATCTTCTCGGATGTGTTGAACTACAGATCTTAACCACACGCACTCGCGACTAGCTTCGTGAATAGCTAAAATCTCTGCATGGTTAGAAGAAGTAGCTGCAAGAGTCTGCTTCATAGAACGCCAAGAAATAGCAGTACCTCCACATGTGAACACATATCCAGTTTGTGATCGAGCATTATGAGGATCAGATAAATATCCTGCATCAGCAAATCCAATTAAGTCTTCCTTGCATGTGTTAGAGAAGAAAAGACCCATATCTTTCGTGCCTTGAAGTAACGAAATATATGTTTAATCCCATTCCAATGCCTTCGAGTTGGACATGAGCTAAATCTTGCCAATAGATTTACTGCAAATGATATATCAGGTCTTGTGTGACTAGCAAGATACATCAATGCCCCTATTGCACTTAAGTATGGTACTTCAGGACCAAGAACATCTTCATTGTTTTCTCGAGGGCGGAAAGGGTCCTTTAACACATCAAGTGACCTTACAATCATTGGACTGCTCAGTGGGTGCGCTTGATCCATAGAGAATCTTTTCAGGATTTTCTCTGTGTATGTTTTCTGGTGCAGTAGAATTCCATCTTTAAGATGTTCAATCTGCAAACCCAAACAAAATTTTGTTTTTCCGAGATCCTTCATCTCAAATTCTTTCTTCAGATAGTCCACTGTATATGAAATCTCTGCAGGAGTTCCAATAATATTCAAATCATCAACATATACTGCAATAATGACAAATCCTTGCCCGAATCTTCTTATAAAGATACATGGACTAACAGGGTCATTTTTATAACCTTCCTTTAACAAATACTCACTAAGGCGGTTATACCACATACGCCCTGATTGTTTCAATCCATAAAGAGATCGATTCAGTTTTATGCAGTATTGATTTCTGGATTGATTTACTGCTTCAGGCAGTGGGAATCCTTCTGGAACTGTCATGTAAATATCATATCCAGTGGTCCGTACAGGTAGGCTGTTACTACATCCATCAGCCGTAAGTCAAGTCCTTCTCTTATTGCCAAAGTAATAAGGAACCTGAACGTAGTTGCATCCACCACAGGAGAGTATGTCTCTTCATAATCAACTCCAGGAATTTGTGAGAAACCTTGTGCAACTAAGCGAACTTTGTATCTCACAATTTCACCATTTTCGTTCTTCTTTCTCACAAAAATCCATCTGTGTCCTACTGGTTTGACACCTTTAGGTATACGGACTACTGGTCCAAACACTTCTCTCTTTCCAAGAGATGTTCTTTCTGCACCTATTGCTTCATTCCATTTTGGCCAATCATTTCTTTGTGTACACTCTGCAATAGATGTTGGTTCATGATCCTCATCCATAATATCAATTGCTACATTGTATGCAAAAATTTCATCGACGTCGATTTGCTTACGGTTCCATGTTATTCCAGACATGACATAATTTGTTGAGATCTCTTCATTCTCAGGTACCTGAATTTCTGTCATGTGTAAAGTCTCTTCTGGAGATTTTTCATTCATAGTTTCCTCGATTTCACTTGTGCCAATTTCTGCTCCTTTTCTTTTTCGAGGATTTTTATCTTTGGAACCAATAGGTCTACCACGCTTCTGGCGTGCCTTAGACTCAGTAGCAATTTGATTATGTCCTTCTGAGACATTGATTCTAATCGGAGCATTTTCAGCTGGTATATGTGACTTAGTCACTCTTTTTGGGTCAGCAAATGCTTCTGGCAACTGATTTGCTAAATTCTGTAAATGAATTATCTTTTGGACTTCTAATTCACATTCTTTAGTCCGAGGATCAAGATAATTTAATGATAATTCATTCCAGCTAAGTTCTTTTCCCAGCTGTTTACTTTCTCCCCCTAATGTGGAAAGACTGATTCATTAAAATGACAGTCTGCAAAACGAGCTTTAAATAGATCCCCTGTGGATGGCTCTAGATACTTAATGATTGATGGAGAATCATATCCAACATATATACCCAGCCTTCTCTGGGGTCCCATTTTAGAACGCTGTGGTGGAGCAATCGGGACATATACGGCACATCCAAAAATTTTGAGATGGGATATATTTGGCTCTTGACCCAGTATCAATTGTGATGGGGAGAACTTATGATTACTCGTTGGCCTGATGCGAATTAGTGTTGCTGCATGCAATATGGCATGTCCCCAAGCAGACAGGAGTTGGGATCTCATAAGTAATGGTCTAGCAATCATTTGGAGACGTTTTATTAACGATTCAGCTAAACCATTTTGTGTATGAACATGAGCTACAGGATGTTCAACACTTATCCCAATTGACATGCAATAATCATTAAAAGCTTGAGATGTGAATTCACCAGCATTATCAAGTCGAATTGCCTTTAAGGGAAATCTGGAAAATGTGCTCGTAGTCTAATCAACTGAGCAAGTAATCTCGCAAACGCCAGGTTGCGAGTTGATAACAAGGATACATGTGACCATCTTGTGATGCGTCAATTAGAACCATAAAATATCTAAAGGTTCCACATGGTGGGTGAATCGGTCCACAAATATCTCCTTGTATGCGTTCCAGAAAATTGATTGATTCTGAGGTTATCTTGGCTGGTGAAGGCCTTATAATCAATTTGCCTTGTGAACAAGCAGCACATGTGAAATCATTAGGAAGTAAAGCAAACTTATAAGTAAACCATGAAGTTAAGAATCAATTATTCCCTTCAGGGGCAAGGAAATCAGCAAGTTCCATGTGAGCTGTCTCACTAAGCAAACCAAAGTCATCTTCTCCATCTTCATACACCAAGTTTGTTTCCACATTCTTGCCCTTTTGTTTCACAGATAGTTGATAAAGGTCAACAAGATGTTTTGGTGTACGACATGTACGGGACCAATGGTCTTTTCCTCCACAGTGGTAACAAACATTCACATTCGAATGTGTTGCTTGTTTGTTACTCTCTTTCTTTTCCCACTTCCTGCGTGGGGTTGGGGTCTTAAAATGAACTCCACGACCTCGACCATAGTCTCTTCCACGTCCTCGGCCATAGCCACGACCACGACCACGACCACGAGTGTATCCTCGGCCATGGTGGTTAGAGGATGTCACATTCGCTTCAGGGAATGGAGCAGAGCCAGTTGGGCGTAGACCATGATTCTTCATCAGTAGCTCGTTATTTTGCTCAGCGACAAGGAGACAAGAAATGAGCTGGGAATACCTTTGGAATCCTTTTTCACGGTATTTTGTTTGCAGGACAACATTGTTTGCATGAAAGGTAGAGAATGTCTTCTCCAACTTATCAGCATCCGTGATTGTCTCTCCACATAACTCCAACTTGGAGGTAATTTTGAACAAGGCTGAGTTATACTCACTTACAGACTTGTAGTCCTGAAGTCTCTGTTGCCAATCATAACGAGCTCTAGGTAAGATCACTGTCTTCTGGTGATCATACCTCTCCTTGAGACCAATCCAGAGGATTTGAGGATCTTTCACATTCAAGTACTCATTCTTGAGGTCCTCATGGAGATGATGGCGAAGGAATATCATACCTTTTGCTTTGTCTTTGCTTTCAGCTTTATTCACTTTCTTGATTGATTCACCAAGTTCTTTTGCATTGAGGTGGATTTCGGCATCTAGTGCTCACGCGAGATAGTTATTCCCGGTGATATCCAAAGCCTCAAATTCCAAACTTGTTAAGTTTGATATGGTTACTGAAAAATAATAAATAATAAACATTATTAGCAAGACTGAAAAGAATAATAATAATAATTGATTTATTAAGCAAATCAAGGAAACAAATACACATTTATTTCTAATATTAAGAATAAACAGTATTAGCAATTTACTTTTTTTCAGATATGCAATGATATAATATATATTATTATTAGCAAATGATGATCAAATGATGATTTATCAATAATAAACAATCTCAAAATTAATAATGAGCAATATACGATTATGATTCAAAATCAAACAATATTATTTTAATAAAACTGATCAAGATTCATTTTAATAATAATATTAAAGATATATATTCAGAGTGATTTTACCACTTATTTAATTATGAATTCATGTAGTCAACAAGTCAATCTTAGAAATTAATATAGACAAGAATGCAATAACATTTCAAATGTCAAATTTATGCCAATTAATGCAAACGATTTATTCAAATTAAATATTTAATATGGTCAAGAGAATTTCAATTCAATTAATTATTCATTTCAGTAATTAATTAAATATATATTACGAAAATAAATAACTAAAATGAGAAAAACAAATAAAATAAGAACAATAGATGAGCAAAATAAATAACAGACAATTTAAACAAACAAAAGAAGTAATAAACAATATAAAATCCTTTGGGATATAAAAAGATAGAAATCCTTCAGGGATATAAATAAAATAAATAAATATAAACATGAAATATAAATAAAACATAGATAAAAATATGAATCCTTCAGGGATAAAAATAAAATACAAATCCTTCAGGATGTATATAATTGAAATATATAATTCCTTCAAGGAAAAATAATATATAAATCCTTCAGGGATATATATAATTTTTTTTCTTATAACATTAATCCTTCAGGGATATAATTTAACCAGAGGGGAAAAAAAAATAAAAAAATTATTCTGGCAATTGAATAAATATATTACGAAAATAATATAAATATATATAAAGCATGAGTTTGCTGAATCCAAAATATTATCAATAAGTAATAGAGATTAAATATTGATAGAAATGGATTTTAGTATGATAAACACAAATCAACAAAGTAATAGGGATTACTCATTGAATTTTGTGAATTCAAACTATAAGAACTATTAGAACTATTAGAACTTTTGTGATTACCTAGAAAAGCTAAGAGGTAGAACTTTCGTGCTGATAACGTGTTGTGAAATGAGAGAATGAAATGATTTATTCATGGACTAGAGTACCTCTTATATAGGATACAAAGCTAGAGTACAAGAGGAGAAAGTAGTACAAGTGTAGTACAAGTATAGTGGATCTTATAATGGGCATCCACTAAGAATAAAGTCCATAGCAGAAATGTAAAAAAAATTGTGAAAGATGCTCATTATAAGATTTAAGTTGATGTAGCTTTCTGCAGCTAATTATGAACTTAAGTAAATAAATCTCTGAAAAAAGGGCGGGTAAATCAAAGCTAAATTTACTTATTGGACCGAAATGATTTCTAGGAAAATTGTGTATTTAAATTTTTAATTTTAAAGTTAATTTCCCCGCGAAAGCACAAGTAGTGGAAAGTCGTGAATCCAGATAAAACCCCAATTTCAGTAACGGCAAATCTAGGGTTTTCAATTGGCATTCAGAAGCTATGATTGGGGATGCAAACGGAAGCTCACTCATTGAAATCGATGACCAGGAAGAAGTAGAAGATCCATTTCTGGCGTTTATCGAGTATGCCAGAGCGGTGATTTCGCCGGAAGATGACCGAATTGAGGATCCCACGACTGAGGCTAGTGGTCCGGGTTGGGGCTGGATCGCCTCGCGCATCTTGAAAACCTGTACCGCTTATTCTAGCGGTGTCACCGCCGCGATTCTGTTGTCCGATCTCTCTCAGGTGTTCCCACTCTCTCTTCCTTCAATTCGATTCGATGGTTCAATTCGATTCGATGAGGCAGTGTGCTTGTAAAATTGGCTTCGTGCTTCTTCTATGGAGGACCAATTTTAATTTTTTTTTTGTTGGGTAGGCATGGCATGAGCAAAACAAACCAGGAATGTCAAAGAAGAAGCCAGAGCTCATAGATCAATTGAAAAAGAGTCACAGAAGAAGGAGACTCGCTAATACTGTCACAATAGACTCGATTCATGAGAAGAATTTTCTATCCATGAACAGCGTTTTGGAAGCTGTTATCGTCAACGCTGATGTTCTTCCTGGTATCTTAACAAATCATAGAACACCATTGCCATTTCCAATGCGCTACTGTGCCAAGTAGTTGGGCTTATCCAATTAAAACATATTGTTTTTAGGTACAAACATATTCATGCTCACACTAGGGGATTTCTGGAGCTCAAACACCATTGATCTCTATCTACATCGCAGGTATGCATGCGTATTCATTCGAGATGAATCGTAATCTTGTATTGAGATGAATTTGAGTGCTTGTTAATGATGGCTGTTGCGTAGATATTATGAGTTGGTGGAAACAGCAAATGGGATCCTTAGGAAAGGCAGAGAGGTTTTGATCACTGGATGTTACCTTCGTACCGCTAGAGAAGGATGTGGCACTCCGAGATTACTTCCAACAGAGTATCTCGTCATACTGCTAGATGAGGTTATGAATATTTATACGTCTGACACGTCACAGTCTTCATAGGAATTTTTATATGGAAGAGAACTATTTAGTCTTTACCTGACTGGCTGACTCTCAAAATACTGCAGGACGCAGATGATGATACAATCCTTATAGGAACTCTGTTTTACTCGGATACTTTCTCGTCTGTTTCTCTTGATGCTTTCAACAATGGAACTTCATACTCTTTGTATGCTAGGTAAGATAATAAGACATGCGTGTGATACCAATGTAATACTGGTTTTTGGTAAAAGTAACTTACCACTAACATGCCTAGTTGCAAAATACTCTAGTCAAACGCTAATAGGGGATTAGATTATCAGATCAAACCTTTTGGAAGTAATGACTAGTAGTAATCATTCCAGGTCTTGTGATTTCACAGTACATCTGTAGCAAGATGTTTAATGTACCTTATCAAAAAGAAGATGTATTAAGTGTATATTTTGAAAGATTTAATGTACCTTAAAGTTCATTCTAAAGTAATATTGCATTTTCCCCTCTTGGCTTGAGAGCAGGATTGAATCTATAGGTCCTCTGGAATCTGAACTCGAGTTTAGTACTGCGCATAGAAGGCAAATTTCACTTGTAGATTGTGACGGCGTTAGGTTAAAATTTATCTTGTGGGGAGAGCAAGTCATCCTGGCAAACCTTATGAGGTAAGCTCCTGGCTGGGCGCTTCTACCTTATCTTTTTCTACCAACCTGTTTGTTAAAAATTTGTTGTTTTCAGTGTGGGAACTACGCTTGGGCTTGAGAGGCCTTATATTTCTAGTCTCGACGTGAGTGCAATAGAAGGAAAGGATGAGTTCTGCCTAGAATATGGTAGCGCAACACATCTCTATCTAGTGCCGTCAATCCTACAAGAGGAAAGGGTAGATGAACATTTTTTTTGTTGCTCTTTTTTCTTGGCACATATTTTTGCACTGTTTTTTATATCACCAATGTGGCTGAGTTGTTGTGTTCTTCAGGTTTGCGTATCGTTGACCCAAAATCAGTGTCAAGGATCTAAACTGCTTGGTTCAGTAGGAGTTTCGCAGGTGACATTGCCTCGTGATGCCGAGGGGTCTATAGACTTCAGTAATTATCCTTTTCGGGTGAGTAGAAGTTAAGATCCCATTTGACAAATCATGATATTAAACTAATGGTTTACAAATCTTGAGGTTCCTTTTCCTTGCAACTTAGCTTCATGGGGGTATGGTAATTGATATTTGTAAAGTTGTTAGAGGCCCATCTCGTGGTTGGGATGTTTTTGTGGGAAGTCTAGTAGTATCTTTTGAATTTATATCAACCAATCGTGAGACTAGTTGTGGCTTATCTCTTTATGCTCCCTCTGTTCAGAAATCAGGTGCAGGGTAGGTTCGTCCCCAAAGTTTACGCGGAATTTAGGTTCATATTGCTGCAGTATCATCTATTGCTTATCTCATCTGCTAATATACCAATCCTTGGTTGAAGTTCTGCAGACGAATATAACAGACATTCGCGACAAAACCACTGGGATCAGTCTCTATGGGGTTGTAACAGAGATCTTATCTGATCCAAATGCCAGAGGAGTGGTGTTTTCTCTAAAAATTGAGGACGCAACTGGAGCAATTTGGGCCAAGCTCCATTTTACTAGTACCTGGTAATGAAAGTGTTTCATGAATTCACAGACGATTTGTAAATTGCAATTCCGGACCTCGAACATTTTATTTAAATGAGCTGTGATATTTGTATGGTTTCTAGGTCGTTGGGAAGGGTAGGGCATGGTCATGTCGTGTACGTGTCTGGGTTGTCCTGCAAAACCACAAACGATTGGTAAGAGTCTCCCTTTTCTTTTGAGAAACTGATTTTTCTCAAACAGTAATGAAATATTCTCACTATTAGGCAAATCAGTAGGTAGTGGTTTAATTGGTGCATTCTTGTTTTTTTGGTTGAGCAGCCGCCTTGAGGTGTTATGGTACGAGAAGGACGAGAAAGCTACATTCATCAACCTTAGCTGCTTACCTGCATTTCTGGCCTCTTCCTGTCTTCACAGAATCTCTACCCTCTCCCAAATATCAAAACAGAGAAATCCTGCAATTAACGTACGTCTCACTTTCTAAAATGATTCACAAAGCTTTGTATGCGTGTTAAGCTCTGTGAATCTCACCGACTCATATTGTTATTGAACAGATTTGTCGGGTTAAGCTGGGCGAGATTGGCCAATGCCAGAACATCCACACGAGATTGTCACACAGCGTTTGCGGCCAGTTCATAGACGAAGAATCATCATCGTCATCATCGCATGGAGGGAATCTGCATTGTAGCTTCTGCAGAGTGAGCTGCAACAGTAGGGCAGGATCAGAAGTGGTGAGATCTTTCCACATAATGATAACACTTGCAGACGAAGAAACCAAACTATACGTGTGGTGTACGGGTCAGTCCGCATCAGCTATACTTCAGATTTCCCCTGACGAGTTCTGTGAGCTCCCTGAGGTAACAGAACAATCTATTAATCTGTATATGTTGATAATAAGAGTTGTTTATTATATGACATGGCAGTGTAAAATCAATAAAAGATGCAAATGTAAAATTGGTCTCAGGATGACCAGCTGATATATCCGTCTTCGTTGGAGAATAATGAGTGGTTCCTAGTGACCTTAGCAAACAGCGGCAGTCGGAATTTGGGTTCCGGCCATCGGCCGTCTCATGAGACGGAGGCGACTTGCTGGGAAATCACCCGCGCTCTCAAGATTTAAACTACCATTACCTTAAAACTATTGTTCAAGTTTTTTTGTTGTTGTTGCTTGTCGTTGTTACGAGTGAAAAAGAACAGAATCTGAACGTGTTAAATACTTAAATTTAGTTGAGAGGCTGTTTGACTTAAAGGACGTGGCTTGATGTCTGTTTTGACTTTTTTGGTTGCGTTTGGACAATGGTGGGCCCAAGTTCCGCCTTTTCTTGTCCGTTCAAATTTTGCTCCGGTCAAGATATTTATTTCCTAGTGTTTTGTGAGCTGTTCTAGTTATAAGGCTGTGATCGTCGTGAAATCCATTCAACGGTCCAGATGAATACAGGTCATAGGACAGCGTTACATTACAGAGAGATAATCCTCACTATCAATTTCAATTGTTAATTTCTATTTGCCTGCAAGTAGTCCAGAAGCCATTTGTCTTCGAGTGTTGCTACTTTTGCACAGAGATCATCTCAGCTTTCTTTCGTTGAAAAAGGTAAACGGAGAGGAAGAGAGAGAGAGAGAGAGAGAGAGTATGGCGGAGAGTGATGGACGGAGGATCGGAGTGGCGGTGGATTTCTCGGAGTGCAGCAAGAAAGCTCTGAACTGGGCGATTGATAACGTGGTTCGCGAAGGCGATTATCTCATCCTCATCACCGTGTGTCATGATATGCATTACGAGGAAGGCGAGATGCAGCTCTGGGAGACCGTTGGATCACGTACGCTTCTTATCTCTTCTCAAAACTCTTTTTTACTCCTTATTTCCTCAATAGCCGTTTCTGATCTTGCAAATCTGTGTTGACGGAACCTGAACTTACTTATGCATCGTTTGACTTTGAACAAGATCAGTCTTTTTCTTCTTCCTCTTCTTCTGTTTGATCTACAATTGACTCTGTATGATTTGATTGTTTAGAATTCGAAAGGTTTTGTTTCATTAGTAGTTGATCTTGCTATATGAATCATGTCTTCACTTTCTCTTGAACATGAGAAAGCCTATTGTTCTTGATCATCTTAATTCTTTCCAAATTTTAGGTCTGGAATTCAATTGTGTTGTTGTTTGACTATGGTCTTGTCTTTCAGCACTGATTCCGGTAAGTGAGTTCTCTGATGCTGCTGTGATGAAGAAGTATGGAGTGAAGCCAGATGCTGAAACCCTTGACATTGCCAACACTGCAGCTGCCAAGAAATCCGTAAGCTTCTTCGTTTCCCTTTTGCCTTTACAGTGAGTGTTTGGTTTCTTATTATAAGTTAAGATCCAACTGTTGTGAAACATGAAGCAGATTACAGTAGTGATGAAGATATACTGGGGAGATCCTCGTGAGAAGATATGTGAAGCAGTTGAACATATTCCTCTCTCAAGCCTTGTCATCGGTAACCGAGGCCTTGGTGGCCTCAAGAGGTAAAAACATTTATCCTCTTTATCCAATTCTTGAATATCTCAAACTTTGTTTTGCTTTACACATATTGAAACATCTTCTTCTTCTTTTTTGTTTGCAGGATGATAATGGGAAGTGTAAGCAACCATGTTGTGAACACCGTGAAATGCCCTGTGACCGTCGTCAAGGCTCACGCCTGAGCTTTGTCTTCATCTTCATCTTCACAAACCCTGATAAACCGGTGTTATCTTCTAAGATATGTGTTTGCTCTGTCGAAATTTGTATTTTTAATTGTTGGTTGTGTGACTTGTATCTTGTTATGAGTGTTGTCTGTTTTTGGGTAAATTATACTTCACCTTCTAATAAAAAAAACTGACTCTTTCTGAGTTTTGGACCAAACTGATTTGCTCTTTTCGATCATGTCAGTGTGTTTTTTATTAATTTATCATCAATCCCTAGATTTTTATATTTAACAGAAGAAATATCAAAACCTATAACAAACTTTGTTTTAGTCTGATACTACTTAAACACTAACACGCATAATCTCAAGAGTCAAAAGACAAATTTCACAAACTGATAAAGTCAAGACAAGTTTCACATTACAGATAAGACACAAGTTAAAGTCTGCAAACAACAGAACACAACACATTAGACAAAGTGATCATCTGATTGGCTTCTTCATTCATCAATCAACAACCTTTAGTGATCTTCTTTCTGGCCTTCTTGGAGATAACCAGAAGAAACTCGGTGGAATCGATGAGCTTGAATGTGCACTTGTCACCGACCAACAAAGGGAAGTCTCTTGCCAGTTTCGTCCATCCACTTGAGAAGATGGTCCGAGCCTCCCTGACCAAGCAAAGCACCTGCCACGAACCGTCCCCTTTTGGGTGATGAACCGTGAAAATCTTACTCTCATCCGGGATATGATCATTCACAAACTGCTTTGGGATTGCCTGCAAAGACAAAAAGACAAAGAGTCGTTATTAACACTCATACATAGCCTTATAGTGATTTGTTGAGTCTTTGGATTTAAACTTACCAAGAACTTGAGGTATGATTTCCTTATGGTGATTTTGAATTCTGGAACCTTCATCTTCTTCTTCTTCTCGGATGTTTTAGACTCCTTAGCTTTCTTCTTTGATGTCTTGGATTCCTTTGCTTTCTTCTTTCTGTCTCCGACATCAACTCCTCCAGAAGATTCAACTGTCTCCTCTTCCTTCTTCACATCTTTGTAGCTGCACTCACCTTCCTCTTTCTTGATCTCAACTGTTTTTCATCATAAAAAAAAAAGAAAGGAATTAGTCTTCTTCATCTCCATCTCATCTGTTTCATAAAGCAGTAGAAAAAAGAAGCTTACTAGGATCAGCCATTGTTGGTGGTTTCCGAGGTTTGAGAAGCTCCCTGCAGTTCTGCTCGAAGATGCTGACATTGAAGCACATCTTCCCTGTGTGAGTGAAGGTTGTAAACTCATCTCTGCCCAAGGCATTGTCGCTCACAAACTTGTCCCATCCACGCTTCTCCATGTAGTAGCACCTTGAGTTCTTGGAGACGCCTACTTCCCATGAGCTTCCCCATTTCGCTCTTATCACCATCTTGTACGAGAAGTCTTTCTCAGAGATGCTTCTCATCAAGTCGTAAGGAAACGCCCTCTGATTTTAAAATACAATTAAGAGTGTTAAAAATCAGTTTTAACTTTTTCTTATCAAATTATTACATCAAGCACTCTTGAAGGCCAAAGTTTCAATCTTTCACCTCTAATCATCAAGCATACAGACAAATTTATGAATTTGAGAGCAGAAAAAAGATAAGAGTGAACAAATGAAGACATTTTCCTAACGTGAAAAGCAGTGGAAAGATTCAACCTTTCACTAAAATCAGAGATTAAAAAAACTGTACTTTTCAAAAACAGAGAGCTTAAAGATTCAACTTTTGAGAGCCAGTTGAGGGCCAAAGTTTCAATCTTTCTCCTCTAGTCATCAGATTGGTCTTATCACAAACAAATCTAACTCAAGAAATCGACAAAAACAAAGAGGAAAGATCTGACCGTGCAGACTAAGGGAACCAGCAACTTTATGTTTTTTGAGAGCAGAAAAAGAAAAAGAGTATAAACAGGTTCAAACCTTTCAAACAAAGAGAACCAAAAGACTAAACACAAAGAACAAAAAGATTCCACCTTTGAAGAAAATCACAAAGTTAAGGACAAGTTGAGGTTTAGAAGAAAGTTACCATGCATTCAGAAGATAAATCTGCACCGTTAAAAACCTTGAAGAAGCTCAACTTCTTCCGTTCTCCTTTAACCTGACCAAACTCTCTGTTCCTAATCATCTCTATCTCTCTCTCTCTCTCTCTTTCCTAACTGTCTTCTTCAAGCTCTCACTCGAAACTTCTTCTCTTTGTTCTCTAGTTTCTAGTCTCTGTCTCTCTCTCCGTTTCTCAGTTTCTGTCTGCTATTGTAAACGAATAAAATGTCTCGTAATTCCTTTATAAACTAATTTTGCCTTTTTTCCATTAAATTTTGAAATAACTGTGAAAAGTCATCCCATGTAAATCTGTTGGTCCCTTATTTTATGGGTAATAGACAGAAACAAGACCTGTTGAAATCTGACTTCACAGACACGCAAAAGCAGTGTTTCTTGTTTTAGTACCTGAGAGAATCCCTGATGTGGCATAAGGACACTTGAAACTTGCTATTTTTGTGCTCTACTCTCCCACAGCATTTAACTTCTTTTAATATTTTTTATTACGATCAAATCAACTTACACCTATCTTTTCAGTAACTTTTTTTCTTTCTTTTGGATGTTAATATTGTTTGGCAGTCAAAAGGGTCAAAGTTGGTATCTTTTGCTCTAAGACAACTGAAAAGTTAAACCGTGGTACAAATATGAGATCATCTTGTGGATCACACCAAATTAATGAGTTTATGTAATTCATAAAGAAAAGTAGAAAACACATGGTCGACACTTCTTAAAATGTTAAACTTGTGAATCCTTGACTTAAACATTTGAGATAGAGTTTACCGAGTATTAATATTAAACTGAGAAATAATTATGAACATATTGGACAATCAAATTTCAACTTCTCGTAACAAAGCTTGCTGTATTAACAAAAAGGTCGTGCAGTATTCAAATCCAACATAGATATTGTTAATATGATCACAGGCTAAATATCGAAATCTACGAACAATAGATATCACACTTAATTATATACCCCATTTTATGCACTTTTAATCAAATTTATGTATTGAAGACAATAAAACCCCATTTCCCAAAAGGAGCATCGACATTTCATGCTTTCATCAGAGTTCAAGACTCATCCATAAGCCCAGCACCATAACCACCTGACCGTATAAACTTCTTCAGGAGAAGTACGACGATTGCGATCGTGAGCCCAACCGCTGCCAGCGTGAACAATCTGTCATCAGCTGGCTTCTGAGCTGCTCTTCTGACCACAGTCTGCTCACCACTTCCGGAAGCTCTGGCCGCAACCTCAACCGTTGCCAACGCTCTTGCAGTGGGACTCACACTAGCTGATCTATTGACTGCTTCAGCTGCTTCTTCGATGATTTGATCATCAGGTGTGGTGTCTGTTGTAGCGATGGACTGCTCCTCCACTACCGTTGTGGCTTCCTGTGGCTCTGCTTGGGACTGAGTTTCTGATTCAGTGGAAGGTGCTTGGTTACATTCCTGAGGAATTGGTTTTGGAACCACAGTTGCTTTGCTAAGAATGTAGTGATGAATCTGCGATTATTTAAAAGACATGATTACGAAACTTCTTTCTATTATTCAAAACGAATCATAGGTAGGCCATATCATAAGCACATGAAGAAAAGGTCAAGAGAGAGCACTACGTTTGCTTAAGCATAATTGTAACATGTAAAATGGTGTTATTTCTCGAGCTAAGGACTCTACCAGAAGTATTTTGTATGCAGAGAATAACAGCTGTGATTTTTGGTTAAAGTTAAGCAGAGTTTCTAGTAATATTTGTGAGTCATGCTGATTCTAGTTATCGCAAACATTAAATCCTAAGCGCTAGAGATACGCGACCTTAACATATTGCAAGGCTACTCTACTCCTCCTCTGGTTTACAAGACAAAGAGGCTAATCACGATAAACATCTAGTCAAATCCATATATTTTCAGCAGAACGTTGTGCGTAGTGGTTTAAAATTTGAAGGATGTAAAGAGGGGCGAATCGTATACCTCCTCGATAACTTTTTGGCGTTCAGGGGAGCCATACTTGGGCGGTGCCTCACGTGATTTAAGGGCTAACGTACGTCTCTCTTCCGGTGGATAATCTACTGATCCCAGAGCTCCGTTGGGGCTTGTAGGCATGAACGCAATGAGAGCCACCAAAGCAGTCCGAACTGCAAAGAAACAAATATCAAATCATAAGGGAAAACGAGAGCATATGTATAGGAACAAGGAAACATAAAACAAAAACAAGTCTTTTGACTTTACCACTCCATGAAGGTTGCCAATGCTCGGGATGGTAATTAGAAATGCTCAAGCAAATCTTGGTATTGATTTCAAAACGACCATTAGGCTGACACGAAAAAGCAGAGAGATTTCATTATATACAGAGTCAACATGCGTGTTTCTTAGTTTGTGTGAAAGAAGAAGAAAGAAGATCACTTACGGTCAATAACATGAACGATGGAGGCTTGAAAGGGTAATCTGCAGGCAGCTGAATCCTCCCATGATAAATCCCGCCTTCAAATTCAGTGTCCCCAGGTCCTCGGATCGCGAATTGCCACTCAAATATGTTCTCCTGCAAGTCACAATCACGCAAACACAGCTTAAACACTCTCTAATGGATTGTGAAACGAATCATCCATTAAGAGAGACTAACAGATTCAGTGAATACACGAGGATTTCGATCCCTTCCTGATCGTGATGGCCTAAAACAATCACCATCATCACTCTTTGACAGAGCTACACAATTACGAGATAATACAGCACAAAACACCATTTCTAGATCTACAGAAGCAGAAATTGAATTACAGATACGAAACAATCGGTACCATTGTTCAGAAGTAATTCTAGTTATCAGAACAGATTTGTATATTTTCAATTTCGAGCTCCGGTGAACCCAATCTCTAATCGAAACACGAAGAAGATTCAGCAAGAGAAGAGATTCTATCTCCAGAAAACGCAAAAAGGGAAATGAAAAACAGATACATAATATATCAGGTTCGATGAAACGTCTCCGATCTCAAAAGCTCGAAATGGATATAAGGTGAGTATAAAAAAATGTTACCTCAAGGGGAAGAGACATGAAATCATCAGACGGATTAGCTTGCATCTCCTTAACCTCCTGCAGAATCCTCTTCACCGCCGGATTCTTCCGATTATACCTCTCATCCGCCATCTTATCACCGCAGATCTTGCCGGGAAATTGCAATCCGCCGCTCGGCACGATCCCGTCTCGAAGGAAAATAAATTAACTAAAAACACAAATTCGATTGGGGAAGGTGTGATTTGATTACTTACGGTGGAGAGAAACACAATTCGGAAACTATTTTCCATGTCATCACTCTTTCAACTACTAATACGTGACGTGACAGCTTCTGAATAGTAAACATTAGTCATCGAAGCATATTTAACGATTCACAAACCGCCACATAGTTTACGTACTTTAATCGTGTCTTTACTGCCGTTGATTTGAAAAAAATCATGGTGACGCTTTAACAGGCTTGGGCCATTTTTTCAAAAGCCCAATAAAACGTGCACGTTTCAGCTGGTGTAGTCAACGTTGACAGAGAGAAATTAAACTCTAATACTAAAACGGCTGCGTTTTAGGTACGTTGATGACTATATGCATGTGCAATTGTGCATCATTTGTTCAATTTTCATATTCATAACGTATGTTATATGTATCATGTATGTCGCCAATAGTAACAAGGTGGGGAATAAAGAAAAACCCTTTTATCACTTTATCAAATAAATAAAGAATAATCTGAAAATCCTTTATCAAAAAAAAAAAAAAAAAAGTTACAAGGTGAATAATGTCCATAACCCAATGTAATCACTCTTTTATCAACTGTGAGTATTCTTCAAATGGATTATCAAATATGTCTAGTTCATATTGTAAATATGTTTTTGTCAAAAGTTTATAAACTTTTGCAGGTGCAGATTTGAGAACTTCTTATACAGTGAGAATTTCTCTACCGAAAAGAATTTTGCCCATGGGCAAGAAACATCGAATACGAGAACTTTAGAGAGGATACACAATGCTTGTCAATTGGAAATGGTTACAAAAATTAAGAATCTGTTAAAAACAGATTTCAGCAAGATTGAAAAATCGTTTCTAGCTTAGATTGTGCATATGGTGTCAAAGGAAAATTATGGGTTTTAAGGACATTTGGTTAACCATTTGTTGCAAAGAGAATATTCACATCTGAAGACAACCAAAAAAAAAAATGTAATCACTCTTTTAACTAAGAACGTATTAAAAGAATGATTTATAACGTTTCACAAATTGCATCTAAGCATTTTAACGGTTCACAAATTGCCACGTAGTGTACGTTCTCTAATTGTGTCTTACTGCCGTTGATTTGAAAGAATCATGGTGAGGTTTTAAAAGGTTTGGGCCATTTCTATCAAAAGCCCAATAAAACGCAACGTTGACGGAGCCAAGATGGGAGGAGTAAACCGATGAGGAAGCTCTTGACTCAGAGAAGAAGAAAGAAGAAGCAATTTCAATGGAGAAACCGGAGAAGAGAGGGGTGATCGACACGTGGCTTGATAAGCACCGTTCGATTTACACGGCGGCTATACGCCATGCCTTCGTCGTCTCCATCCGCGACGGATCCGTTGATCTCTCGTCCTTCAGAACATGGCTGGTATTTGTTAATTACCAATCGAAAAAGTGAAAAATCTGAATTCTCACTCGATGACTTTAAAATTCAAACCGCTTCGTTGTTTTCAGGGACAAGATTATCTGTTCGTGAGGGGATTCGTGCCGTTTGTAGCGAATGTTCTGATCAGAGCCGGCAAAGAATCCGGCGAGACTTCCGACATGGAAGTCGTGCTTGGTGGTTTAGCGTCGTTGAACGATGAAATCGAATGGTTCAAGAGTGAAGGATCGAAGTGGGGTGTTGATTTCTCGACCGTCGTGCCTCAAAAGGCTAATCAAGACTATCGCAGGTATTCGATTTTCAAATATTGTTGAATTTGAGAGACTCTCTCACTCTCACACTCGAAAAATTGAAATTCGAGATGAGCGATTTTTGTGGTTGATTCAAGGTTTATGGAAGCTCTGATGAGCAGTGAGGTGAAGTTTTCGGTGATGATGACAGCTTTCTGGGCAATCGAAGCAGTGTATCAAGAGAGCTTCGCTCACTGTTTGGAAGTCGGGAACAAAACTCCGGCGGAGCTTACCGGAGCTTGCAATCGTTGGGGAAACGACGGGTTTAAAGAGTACTGTTCATCTGTCAAGAAGATCGCCGAACGTTGTCTGGAGAATGCTTCCGGCGAAGCTCTGGCCGAAGCTGAAGATGCTCTTGTACGTGTTCTTGAACACGAGGTCGCCTTCTGGGAGATGAGCCGTGGAGGACAGTAGCAAATGAGACATTTGCTCTCTCTTTTTTTTTTGTGAAATAGAAATTGTGGTTATGATTTCGAAAGATTCTTCTTTTGGCCTCAATATATGATCTTTCTCATTATGTGACACGACTGGTTAATCTTGATTGGATCCGAGTTGGTTCACTTAGCAGTGATGATGGAAAACTTCCAAAGAGTAACAAGATTTTGTTATGTTCTGTGAAAGAATAGTTTTGGAGTGTGAATTCGAGAGATTTTGTTTTTGCCTTACTAAATTGATTGCTCCTAGATCGGATTATTACTGTCTAGAACATAATGTTGTTACCATCATTCCACATGTCAAACCTACTGGTGATACTTAAACTACATGAACATGAACGTCCTAAACTCTTGAGAAATTCAACAAAACACGGGTTGATGATAATCATATTGAAACGACAACAAGCTCTCTAGATCTCTCTATTCTCTCCAGCGATGACCACAATTCGGGTTGCAGCAGACAAAGAAGAGCGTCATTCCTTCTTCACCTCTAGCCGTAGCCTGCACAAGATTCAATGATAGTTGGTGTTTGATATGTAGCATAACACAAGCTAGTTAACTAATGTAATGATGAAGCTTAATTAAAAGATAGATAGATAGTTTTACCTGGAAGAAGACAGCCTCTCCATGCTGACACTTGGCGCAACGCACGGCCTTGGTTCGGGGAAGAGTTGGGTCAGAAGCCACGTCCGTTAGGATCTGTGTTCGTTCACTCACAGAGTGATGAACCTCGTTTCTGTACACACAGTTGTTATCAGCTGCCTCCTGCAAGGTTATAACAAACAATGAGGACAAAGAAACCAATTTCATCATCTACATTGTAAATTTGTAACAACAGTATGACAATTTAGCTGAAACCATGTCAATAACAATGAAGAGGAACACAAAACCAAAAGGAATAAGTTAGCAAATAAGAGAGGTTGGTCCAAACCAAGGAATCTAATGAAAATACGAGCATTAAAGCACTAAAGAGTTTCAATAAAGTGTCTTAATTGCTGCTAAGTCACACTCACATTATGTGCACTACATTGAGCTCTAAAACCCTAATTTCGGTGATTAATTGGAATGACCAAGTTTTTACCTGGTGATCACAATTACGGCATGCGTAGAGGAGGATCTTCTGCTCCTTGTCCTCCTTAGGATACAGAATGTTGTTACTGAAATAATCAAACAGAGAAATTCAAGGATTCAGAAAGCAAAATTCGAAAAAAAGTTAGGAGCTTTAAGCGAATTGAGACATTATTAGGCGAAATCAACCATAGATTGTTCGAAAGAGGAAGACAGAAATCATAGACAACAACGAAAAACTAAAACTTCATGCAAAATTATGAAACTTGGAAAAAACCTAGACGGAAATGAGGTGCAATTTACAAAGATGAGCAGATTTAGCAAAGTGGATTTACCATTCGCGACAAAACTTCATAGTACTCATCTTGCTGAATTACACAGTCTCGGAGTAAAATCTGGCGAGCTACTTTTGGATTTTTTTCAGGGAAAGATGAGATCTTCGTTTGAATAACAGAGTCGTGACCTCCGGACGGTAACTTCACGGGATTTCTTGGGCACACGCTTATGTTTGGTACAATTAGATAATGCATGTGACTTGTGATGTGAATATATATTTTTTTTTGTTATGTTTACTTTCTTATATTATTAAACAAATGAAATTAAATCATAGTTTATATCAGAAATATGAAATATCTATATATCAGCAACCATGATGAGATTTCCTTTCATAAAACTACTCTTAATTTGAACAACAAAAAAAAAAAAAAAAAAAAAAAAAACTACTTTTAATTTGACCGCATATGAAGATAAATCATACCTCATATAGTCATATCATATCAGAGATAAATCAACCATGATGAGATTTCATTTTATATAGAGGTTTTATTTTGACCATGTTGACCTGACCATATATATCAAAAATGCTAAATTGAGTTAAATATGGTACTGACTCATAGACGCAATTTAGCAAATGCGAAATCAACGTCATGCGTTGTCTTCGTTGTAATCTGATGATAATGAATTGGGTTTACTAAAGTAAATCTATCCATTTTTGTTGGCCCACTAAAAAGCCCATGACGTTTGAAAACATATCCGTTAGACACGGTGTTTATCCTCCAATATATATTAAAGACCATACAGATTTGGTGATATGGCGAGTCCACAATTTTTTGAATTTATTTTTGATTTATTTTAATGCATATATTCATTTCTTGGTAAAAGACGCGGATCTTTGTCGGATTCTTTATAACCCGGTTTCTTACAATTCTAGCCCAATTTAATATAACCCGAATCCTTCTGAAATTAAATAGTCGAATCCTTTCAAAAAATGAATATACCAAAAACGAAAACAGCTTCCTCCTCAAGATCGAAACTTCCTAACTAGGCGTTGCAAGATATTGCCTTTGCTGATATTCAAATATTCTGCAAATTGAAAGAAATTGTTAATCACGTTTATAGTTACTATATCATGAATCTCAACTTGAACGCACCAAATTCTCAAAAAGATTTAACCTAGAGATTGAAATCTCTATATAAATAACTTCAGAAGTTACATGTCTCTTCATCCTTCCCTGCAAGCCCACCAGTGAGTTTTTGTTTTCACTTTATTCTCCCTGTTTCGAGTGAGTCGATTCGATTTATCTGTTGATTCTCATTTTTTTTTCTGTTGGTGTTTGGTGAAGGTTGTGAGAGTTCTAGCGAAACAAAGGGATGTTGATTTTTCCGGCCAGTAACGGAGACTGAGATCGTTGTTATGGAGCTTGATCTCAGATCCATCTCTTTCGCATCGAACTTGGTTGGCGATTTCAAATCTCTTGCTATACCTCTTAAGATCCGTATGTTACGTCAAATTCTCTGTAAATTACATGATCTTAAATCAGTGTTTGTATTTCAACATATGGGTTTTTGAATTTGGATTTCAATTCCGGCCAGTTCTGGGTATCCCGAATAAGGTTGATCTTTTGTTTAAGAAGTACTTGTCGTTGTTCTTTGCTATCTGGCAAGTTCATAGATTTGTCGGTTTTAAATTATATCCTTCGGTTAAATTACAATTGCATTGCGTACTCCATAAATGAATTAACTTCTCACTGTTGTTTCTCTTTGTGTGTTTTTCAGATTGAGCATAAGAGTATGACTGTAGCTACAGATTTTGAACATGTTCGCTCAATAAGACCGCGGGTTTTGCTGCATCAATCACAGAGGAAGGTAATCTATGAGACATATCCTCAAGATGGTCTTTTTGTGTGTGATTCGTCATTACAAAGTATATGGTTTTTGTTTCTAAAAGATTGTTATTTTCATGTGTAACTAGGCTGTTGAGGAATTTAAAAGGCTACACTCTTCTTTGAGTGAATCAGCATTCATCGTAACCTCTGATGTCTAAAGCTAATGGCAGAGATCATAGCTCAACATTTCCGGCATTGGTTTGAGAAGCTACGCCAGAGGTTTTTGCAAGACTTCTCTGCTTCCTTTTGGTTCGGTTAAAAGCTCCGGTTTTGACCATCTTGCTCGGTTTGGTTCCTGCGAAATTGTGGCCGGTCTAGCGTCACTAATACTCATTGTTTTAACTCAAATCTCTCCGAAAGAAAACAAATACTACAAGATTGAGGCCTTTGTGACCTTGATCTTACACGTAACAAAACCAAATGATTGTTGATTAACAATTGTTTATAATATATGTAATATATTTTTTTATCATTTTAGTAATTTTGGTCCTACCACAAGTGTGGAAACGTTAACCAATCTGCATTTTGCTGTGGAATTGCTTCTGAGCTTTCCTGCAAAATTTACACTTTTGTAAGATCTTTTGAAATGGCCAAATGGGCATAATGGTTATCATTATTAATATATTACATCTATCATGCACAAATTGAATTAACAAAAAAACTTACGTCATTTGTGCAAGTAGCTGTGCAACCCATAATTAAGTCTTCTAATCCCGAACCAGATGATCGACCTTTAAATTGCTGTTGCTGCATGTCATTATAAAGAAAGAAAAATACGAATAACTTTTTTCAAATCTGTAGTTTTCTTTTTAGGCAAAAATACGAAAGAGACTGATTTTGTAATAAATTGCATGATTTACTTTTTGCATGAGCCTGTAGATCCAAAATCATTAGTTTTTATTTAAATGAGTTCTTATGATTAAATGTTCAAGAAGACAAACACTACTGTTTATACATATCCATCGCGTGCATTGACTTCAAGTTTTAGCTTATACATGTATACATAATACATATTGTAATAAATAGAGCTGGGATTCATGTTTGGGTTTGAATATTGATGGAGAAGAAAATGAAGCAAAACAAAGGCTTCTTCACCGAACTTTAGCCAAGAAGGTAATAATCGGGAATGAGTTTGGTATTTATGTAGATGAATAGATTCTTTTTACATCATATATTCTAGATATTATCTTCTGATTTAACTATGTTTCCTTTAACTTTATTATATTGATTTTATTGTAGAGCTTGCATCAGTGCTCTTTATAATCCATAGTCGTACTCACAAAGACCTTTCTGTTATTTATTAGGTTCATGCTGCTATTGTCTATTCTGATCTAGAACATACTAAATAGTGGTTTAGCAGTATTAATGGGAAGTGCAGTCTTGAAGAAGAATTTCTGAACTGAGAACAATGTTGGTTTTGGTTTGCAGAATGATTGATATAAATTTTTGGCTTATATGGTGATCAAGAGGTGAAGATTGAACAAGTAAGATCATTGCACAAACTAATTGCACAAATTTTAGTGAATCACATTTACGGTGAAAAATTTGTTAATCAAACTTTGTTTGAAAAGAACATTGCAGAATAGTTTGTTAATCAAATGTATCAAATTTCCCGCAAATTTTAAATATGTTTGCGGGAAATTTACATACTTAAAATTATGGTGAAAATTATTAAAACTTAAAAAATGTATTTTTTTTCATACAATATGTAGTGGATATTGCTATTTGCTTTTTTAATATAAATTTT